AGTCATGCTGAGACCAGCGTCCATATTGTGGCTACAGCACTTATTAACCTCAGGTCTAGAGAGTCATGCTGAGACCAGCGTCCATATTGTGGCTACAGCACGAATTAACCTCGGGTCTAGAGAGTCATGCTGAGACCAGCGTCCATATTGTGGCTACAGCAAATTACCCCAGGGAACATTTCAAACACACCCTCTTCTACTGTATTTTTGACGACCATTATAGACACGCATGCCCTCCCGACCCGGGGGCCTGACAGTCCAAGACTTTCCTCTATTTGCCACGCACAGGACCATGAAAATGAGCTATCATCCTCAATTTGACATTCCTACATGGAATTCAAAACAACAAAAAAAAAAAAAATGAAACCCAGTATCCGGTAACCAACGGAAAGCTTTAAGATCCTTGTTAATTTCCTCTGTAAAGTACCTGGGTGTTACCATTCAAAGAGACGTCCGCTGGGACGAGCATATTAACAATGTATGTAACCAAGCAAACAAGACCCTAGGGTTCTTAAGGCGAAATCTAAAGATTGGCAACTCCTGTATGAAAGAAAGAGCATATAAAGCCTTTATCCGTCCGATTTTAGATTATGCATCTTCAGTCTGGGACCCATTTACCCAGAAGAGCATTGACAGGTTGGAGGCGGTCCAGCGACGAGCAGCACGCTTTGTCCTAAACCGCTACAGGAATACCTCTAGTGTTTGCAGCATGCTAGAAACACTAGGCTGGTCACCATTGGAGAAACGACGACGACAATCCAGGCTCTCCATGATGTACAAGATAAATAATGGGCTGGTCCACTGTTCCAGTATTAAACAGAAAGTCGTCCCTCTCCCCGATAGACTGCGACGAGGCCATGACAGGCAATTCAGGCTCCTACCAGCAAGAAGCCAGTATAGGAGCTGCTCATTCATGCCCAAGACAATCAGGGACTGGAACAATCTTTCAAAAGGAACGGTTGAGGCGACAACACTAGACACATTTGTGTCTATTGCCTCCAGCCTTCAAACCCCTAGTGCATGATTTCCTCATCAACACCAATGCCCAAGACAATCAGGGACTGGAACAATCTTTCAAAAGGAACGGTTGAGGCGACAACACTAGACACATTTGTGTCTATTGCCTCCAGCCTTCAAACCCCTAGTGCATGATTTCCTCATCAACACCAGAAACAGAAACATTGCAAATCCCATCTACATGAATAGGAGCCAAAATGATCAATAAATTGATCGTGGGCCCTTAAGATATAGAAGAAGAATTTAATTCATTGATACTCATCTTTCAGGGGTGTGTGCCTCGCTGAAATGTCACCTGTTAAACAACCCCCCCCCCACACACCTAATTCCGTTACAAGTTATCAAAGCCATGCGCCATCAAAAAGTTCTGCGGTGATCTGTTTAGTTGAACCTGTCCCCTGAGTAGAGAAATATTAAAATGACGCAAATGTGTCCGCCACTATCTTCACAACAATCAATGACGTCATTTGACTTTTTTTTTCCCTGCGTGTGTACTTGATATAAATGAACACTTTTTCTTAATCTCTTTCATATAAATTAAAGTTGTCTCTATGGAATCGCTCTTCAATGGACTTAACGAGCAAAGGGCTAAGAGGTCAGAGAGTCTTTTCATGTTGATCCTTAACCGTTTTTTATACGATGCTTTAAAAGCGGTAACGGATTTGTAAGAACAGGGGCACTAACCGATCAGCCATAAGATTCGGAAGCAGAGTTTAAATATTTATCATAGCAACATTCCTTATCAGTACGACTCAGTTTCATGGAGATGTTGAGAAGATTATTTAATCATAAAAGAGAGTATAAATAAGTAGATTAATCAGGAAGTCAAGTAATATCTCACACGATTTAAACATCCTTCAATTGAAGTACTACATGAAGAAAAAATGTTTTAAAATTTGAGAAACATTTGGATGCTTCAAACCACTCCCTTCATAACAGATAACTAAGATGAGCTCGATCAGGGAGAATTCTTTCTCTTAAAGTTGGGACCGAAAGATATAACAAAATTCCTTTGTTCCTTTGTCTGTACGAATTTACCAGCGTGCTCCCCCATGAGGTTACCAAATCTAAATAATCCCAATTTAAGTCATTAGTTTCACTAAAGGAGTTCCTTGATAGCTGATTTCTACGTTAGAGAAATACTTAAGAGGTACAGTGGAACCTCTCATAACGAGCTCCGCTCTTAACGAGTAATTCGAATAACGAGTAAACAAAAATGTGAAGAAGTTGCTCCCTTAACGAGCGACATTTCGTATAACGAGTTACGCAGAAAGGGGAAGTCACTTTTTCACCTCACTTCCGCTTGGAAAAAACTTTGTCCAGAGAGTGTTGTTGAATGTGATTGATAAACAGCACCTGTGGAGTCTACAGTTAACGAGATTGTGTCATTGGCCAATATCATGGGACTCGAGGTGGACAACAACGATATTGAAGAGCTTGTGAAAGAGCACAGTCAAGAGTTGACCACCGAAGAGCTTATGGAGTTGCATCGTGTTTCACAGCAAGAAATTATGGAGGAGAGCTCATTAATGGAGGAGGAAGTAGCAGAGTAACAATCTTCTAGCGCTATAAGAGAAATGCTGAAAGCATGGGAAACTGTTGCATCGTACATTGAGAAGCATTACCCTAATAAGGAGGTGGCTATTTGTGCTACAAATTTATTCAATGATAATGCTGTGACACATTTTCGTCAAATTTTGAAGCGTCGGCAAAAACAAATGTCTTTAGACAGTTTTCTAGTTAAAAAGCATTAGTTAGTTATCTAAAATTCATATTTTTATTTACGTTTTTTGTAAAAAATCTAAATTGTATTCCAGGTCGTTACATTCCTTAGCCATTCATAAGTAATTTTATTGAAATAAATGTTCAGAAAATTATTTTTTAAATGAGTATTTTTTCAATATTTTACATTTGTATGGGAAAAATTGTTTCGTGTAACGAGTGTTTTGCTTAACGAGTAAGAGTCTGGAACGAATTAAACTCGTTATGAGAGGTTCCACTGTATTGTGTTAAGATTGTTATAATTGTAAAATTGTTTCTTGTTTTAATTATACATTTCTACTCGTGCTGAAAATAAATATGCACAACATAATAAGAAAAACATTTCAATTTATTTGGATCATTAAAACAATCTTATGCTATCCTGTTCTCTTATCTTAATTGGGATATACCTGGAAGAAATCATTTTTATTTTAATTCCAAAACACTTCTAGCACAAAAAAAAAAATGCAACAGATACAACTAACACAACAAACGCATCTGATAAAAATGAAAAAAAAAAAAACACAGCTGACACAACTGACACAACAAACACAACTGACACAACTAACACAACAGACACAACAAACACAACTGACGCAAGAAACACAACAGACACAACAGACACACACTAAACGATCTTTAACAACAAATGAAACGATCATTAACAAAAACTGGAGAATCTTTAAGAACAAACTAAGCGATCTTTAAGAACAAACTAACCGATCTTTGACAACAAATTAAGCGATCTTTAACAAACACAACTGACACAACAAACACAACAGACACAACAAACACAACTGACACAACAAACACAACAGACACAACAAACACAACTGACACAACAAACACAACTGACACAACAAACACAACAGACACAACAAACACAACTGACACAACAAACACAACTGACACAATAAACACAACTGACACAACTGACACAACAAACACAACAGACACAACAAACACAACTGACACAACAAACACAACAGACACAACAAACACAAATGACACAACAAACACATCTGACACAAATGGCACAACTCAGACAACTGACACAAATGACACAGCAAACACAATTAACACAGTGCTTACAGACTTAAAAAAAATAGTTTTAAAATATCGTTCATCTACTAGCATGCTTAGAATGTATTTAAATTTGATGTGTCACCAAAAGGTTGTTTCTTGGAAACGGAAATCCGTTACAATAACAAACTAAATCTCAAGAATTAAGTTGGCTCCTTTTTTTTTATATTGACCGATCTAAGCCCTAAGTAAACTTTTAAACGTGCTTTGTGGGTTAGGAATTGCTATGCATTGTGGGTGTATTTGAGATGGGTAGGGATAGAGGGTACGGAAGGTATGTGGAGATGGAGGATGGGGACATAAGAAATATAACTTATTTATTATACTCAAACTCTGAGTTGTATCTCCTAAAAAATTATTCGGAAATTGTAAAAACCACAGTGGAAAGAGCTTTGCTCTTGCAATGTTTCCGATGGTAGGACATGACGTCAGATTTGAAGCTGTGCACACGGGGTCTCAGTAGTCGTATACGTAGGCGAGGCTCTGACGCTTTGAACACGCTTTTCAACCGGGGATCCGTAGACACGTAGTCTACGTCGTAATATTGTCTGAGATTAAGCCTCTTGGGTTCAAACATGCGCTAAGGATGTTTGCTTAAGATCTTGATTAGCCCCGTATTGGACGAAGGGAATGAACTCACGCTGAATGACCGGGGCGGGGGGAGGGGGGGGGAATTAAGCTATCAAACAAAGTTGGGGGAAACAACACACGGGGAGAAGTCTTTGGTAATATGGTGATGAGGTCAACTTTAAAAATAACATTGTTCAAAAAAAAAAACTGTGGTATGTTGAAAAGAAGCGGACCAGACTCACTGCCGGAAATCGGTTGTATAAAGTCACAGATGATATAAAAAGGAAACCAGTCGGTGAAGATTCCTAGTAACAGGTAACTAAGTTGATTGACAGCTCAATAATTCATCAGTATTAAAGTGAACTTACATGTGTATATTTAGATATACATACATATATATTTATATTATTAAAAAAAAACCAAAAAAACTCTATTTATTTATTAATTAACGTAAACTCAACGTAACATCCGGACATTCACATTGGATTGGTGATTGTTTGATCCGAAGTAAGGTAACTTTTTTCTGCCTGTTTCTTGGTTTAAATTTTGACTGCTTTAACTGGACTATTATTATTATTAGTGGTTTTATATAGCGCAGTATCCCAGCTTAGGGCTGGGCTCACCACGCTGTACATACAATTTAAGAAACATAATCATGAACTTAAAAATTAACAAACAATTAAATAAAACGAAATAAATTTATCTTAACTCCACCCATTCCAGAACTATTCACATTTCAAGCAATAAACTTAAACCACGAACCGTACATAACAAACATCCTAAAAGCTTGCAATGCTGTGAGTTTTGTCTGTTTTTTGTAGGCTAAATTACTTTTTTCAATCTTTAACATAAAGCAAATTTGTAAAAAACGTGTTCAGGGAAGTATAATTATTTTTTTATTAAAAAAGCCCTTTTTTTTTTTAAAACGTCTTTTTAGAATTGATTCAACGAAACATTTATATTTATTCTAATGTTGATTCTGCCATCTTGTATAACCGTTTTATCTACATACTATTGTTGATGCCCTCGGCTAGTATCAAATACACATGCACATACTATTGTTGATGCCCTCGGCTAGTATCAAATACGCATGTACATTCTAATGTCGAAGCCGTCAACTGTTGCGAGAACCTGAATACAAATAACCCACAGACTGACTCGTTACAGATGATGACCAAAGCAACTCTGGGGGCCGCCACACTGGCGGCGTTGTGCCTGACGCTGACCAGCGGTCACGGACGTCTCCTCGATCCGATCTCGCGCATGTCCGCCTGGAGATTAGGATTTCCCACGCCCAGGAACTACTATGACCACGGGATGAACTGTGGGTCTTTTCAGGTAATGTTTCGCAATTGTTCCTTCTTTTATGGTCACGTGATAACTGCTAGAAGGTTAATGTGAGGGCGAAATCTTAGTTGTGTGGGTTATTTTGTTTGTTTTTTAAATTATTATTTTTTTATTTGTGGGGGGAGGGGAGGTGATATTGGGTACACATAATATGACTCCACACCGCTCAGTTTTTTTTGTTTGTTTGTAAGGATGAAGTTGACAATGAAGTCGAAACAACAAATGCAAATAGTTTCCCCTAAACGTTAACGTGAATACAAAAGATCCATCTGTCAGCCCCCCTCAAACTCACGCTGCAGTTCTTCAGCAGTCTGCTCTTATACAACACGGAGAAAAACAAATAGAAATACTCTCTACTCAGTACCCACACGCTCACCTCATCAAATATTTGCATGAACAAAGGCTAAGCTTTAGACCTCTCGGTATTGTACTCAACCCATGTACCGTACATTTGCATCTTTTTACGTGATTTCCACAGGTCCAGTGGATGAGCAATGGCGGGAGGTGCGGCATCTGCGGCGACTCCTGGTCGGGTCCACGTTACTACGAGCGGCCGAACGGAATCATGGTCAAGCATGACGTCATCACCAAAGAGTACAGAGAAAATGACGTCATTACGGCTACGGTGGAGGTGACGGCGCCCCACATGGTGAGTTGTCCGATCTTTGCAACGCACTCTCGTTGCTGGTGAAGCAAACGCATCGTCGCGTTGACACATGTGTATTGTGACTGCATTGATCTTAGCATTGTTAAGGCAACGGTGATATTAAGCCACGCTAGTCTTTGAGGATCCCAAAGCAAGTGGAAACTACATCAACTACAATAATAATTGTGTTAACTCGATGAATTTTGTTCTTAAAATCGTCACAACGTCCTTTAATGTATTTGCGACGTACCGATGTTTCATTCTGTGAGGCAACTAATCTGACCACAGAAATTGCATTCAAATCTTATGAAACTTTAGTCAGAGATTATCCACCCCACCTCCCCTTGTATTGGAAACATTTTCGGCATCTTCTCGTCTTATAGAGATTGGGATATACATTTTTTTTTTTTGTTGGAATAACTCTAGCGAAACTTCAAAGTGTAGGCGAAGTTGTTGTTTTTTTTTTTAAATCGAGAATCAGCAGTCCGCAGAACCCCCCCCCCCCCAACCTCTTCAAGTCACTATAGCCAGTATTAGACAATATGAGTCGGAGTTGGAAACTAAGTCAACGAATCAGACACTGGTACACTCGTTTGACACATTGTCATTCACTAGACGCTAGAATCGCACATTAGAAACTATAATAGGGCAACACTTTCAACGATATGAAAATAGTAACCGTGTTAAACAACTCCCTTCATAAAAAATCTCAAGCAAGAATTGAAAAGCAAAGTAAAGTTTTCTCCCTTCTCTTTCTCAAAAGGGTTGGAATGAATTTAGGATCTGCGACGTCGCCAAATCCGGAGGAATCGAGGCCACCCAGGAATGCTTGAATAGAACTCTCTTAACCGACAACAGTGGGCGAAGTCGATTCTTCTTCACAACGAACAAAACGGGGCTGAATAACTACTCCCTGGTTTTGCCGAAAGGCTTTACTTGCTCTCATTGTGTTTTTCAGTGGAAGTGGAAAGTTGGTGGGTTTTTATTAAATACCTTTTTATTGAGAGTGGAAAGTTTGTGGGTTTCTTTCAATACCCTCTTTATTGAGAGTGGAAATTTGGTGGGTTTTTTAAAATACCCTTTTTATTGAGAGTGGAAAGTTGGTGGGTTTCTTTCAATACCCTCTTTATTGAGAGTGGAAATTTGGTGGGTTTTTATAAAATACCCTTTTTTATTGAGAGTGGAAATTTGGTGGGTTTTTATAAAATACCCTTTTTATTGAGAGTGGAAAGTTGGTGGGTTTTTATTTAATACCTTTTTATTGAGAGTGGAAAGTTGGTGGGGGCTTATTGAATGGCTTGTTTTGTTGAATGTGGAAATTTGATGTTCTTTTCTGAATGGTTTTTTAAAATAATGTTTTCCAAACAGGCAACAGCTGGGGTTGTGACGAGACGGGTTGTGGTTTGGGGCACGGCGTCGTGCAGGAGGAGTTTTATGGATGCTCTGACGTCAAAATTGTCCCGAAAGGCACCAGCGTGGTCGCGACCTCGAGACCCACCACGCCGAAAAAAGCTACGACCAAGCGAACGCCCCAGACCACCACCAGATCTCCTGTCGCCGTCAAGACTTCTACCACAAGGAAGCCCGCTGGAACCACCAGGAAGTATACGGGGGCCACAAAATCACCCAACTACTACCAGATCCTGAAGGAAATCTTCATGCGATACAACCTGCCCCAGAGGACGTTTGGCGAGATTGATGAAGAAGACCCTGACCTCAATCTTGACGACGAGCTGCCACAAGAGATCAGTGGCCAGGATTTTCTGCAAATGCTGCTAAATCAGCAAGACGTGAATAAGTTACCTTTTATAGACAACTAACCTTCCAGCATGATTGATGACAACAAGTTTTTTAAATCACACTTTCATATTTTTGACAAACGACGCTAAATTTGGGTATCATTTGTTTCAGAACTTTCAGTTCTATACTATAGGCTATTCAAAGAAATTTGTATGTATATAGGTGATTGTTTTTAAACATGACTTTAAAATTGATAATTAAATTGGAATGTTCATCAATGATTAAAATATAGATTAAATTGTGAAAGAAAATTAAAAGTGTAAATTATGCTAAAAATAATAATTTCCTTTTTGTGTGTTTAATTTTTAAATAAGGATCGAATTTTGTATAAATCATTTTTTTTAATAATCCCTTTGTTTTCGTTCGTGTGTGGCGGCAATCTCTTTGGAAGGCTGTTTGACCCAACTTCACGTCATCCCATCACACTGAATCTCGGCACATAGACTTTTTGTCGATGACCAGCACATTCTTTCACATTTTCAACCTTACCCCCCCCCCCCCCCCCCCCCCCCCCCTTTCCACACTTCAATTTTTTTTTTTTAGTGCTTCCTGTTTTTCAAGAGAAAGATGAATGAAAGGAGATTTGTTCATTGGGTGCATGTTTTGTGTTGGAGAATATCGTGTAGCTGTTGTAATGTGTTTTACATGTGTGACGCATTTCCCTGTATAATCGGTTTTTTATCTATCATGTTTTACATGAATTCATTTTGATAAAAACCATTCCAATACCAAAATTCAGTTGCTACAATCCCACAAATGTCAATTCAAGTACATTGACATAAATGCATAGAAGCAACGTGACATTATGTCTAAGTTTATCAAATACGTGACATCGTGTCCAAGTGTATAAAGTTCGTGATATCGTGTCTATATGTAGCAACTATGTGACAGTGTGTCTAAGTGTAGCAACTATGTGACATTGTGTCTAAGTGTAGCAACTATGTGACAATGTGTCTATGTGTAGCAACTATGTGACAATGTGTCTAAGTGTAGAAACTATGTGACATTATGTCTAAGTGTAGCAACTATGTGACAATGTGTCTAAGTGTAGAAACTATGTGACATTGTGTCTAAGTGTAGCAACTATGTGACAATGTGTCTAAGTGTAGAAACTATGTGACATTGTGTCTAAGTGTAGCAACTATGTGACAATGTGTCTAAGTGTAGAAACTATGTGACATTGTGTCTAAGTGTAGCAACTATGTGACAATGTGTCTAAGTGTAGAAACTATGTGACATTGTGTCTAAGTGTAGCAACTATGTGACAATGTGTCTAAGTGTAGAAACTATGTGACATTGTGTCTAAGTGTAGCAACTATGTGACAATGTGTCTAAGTGTAGAAACTATGTGACATTGTGTCTAAGTGTAGCAACTATGTGACAATGTGTCTAAGTGTAGAAACTATGTGACATTGTGTCTAAGTGTAGCAACTATGTGACAATGTGTCTAAGTGTAGAAACTATGTGACATTGTGTCTAAGTGTAGCAACTATGTGACAATGTGTCTAAGTGTAGAAACTATGTGACAATGGCTCTAAGTGTAGCAACTACGTGGCATTGTAAAGCGCTGAAACGACAAGTTTAAATTTGACTTGATCCAAAGAGATGAAATGAAACCAACAAGGAAAGTCCTGAAAGGTGAGGGGACAGGGGCTGGGGGGCGTGGGGCTTCAAGGCTTTCAGGGCATTTTGCATTATTCTCCGAGTCGATGATATAATCTCTTTATGTTTACCCAAAGATTCGTGTTATGCTGCGTAGTTAAAATGAAGACTAAACATAGAACCAAAGCAATACCAACCTTTTTTGGGGGTCTAAAATCTCGGATTCGTCTCATGGGATATTGTCAAATGAGGTTTTGGTTTGGGCAACTGCGGGAGGAGTGGAGGTGAGGATGGAGACCGTCAATCAGACTCTTCTCCCTCTTTTAGAAATGAATAGTTTGTTCCAGTATATATTTTTTTAACAACCGGGCGGTAGGGGGGTTGCGGCAATATAGATTATTCGTCTATCTCAGCTCTCGTCTTAGATATTCCTGCGGCTCCGCATGCGACTTTTTGAATGAATTAATGCGGCTCTTTGTGTTGTTAAAGCAACCACTCTTGTAGCTACGTAAATATTTGATAGGTCCTGGGTTGCTGGGTTGCTGGGTTGCTGAAACAGAGGGTATCACAAACTTGTCAACCGGAGTTAAACGTGGATGGCAACTCATCTGACAGAAGGCAAACTCTAAAATTAAAACCGGAGATTGAGTCCCACATGACACTGACACATGACACTGACATATGACACCGACGCAATGGAAATACCGACACCCCTGTGACGAGGCACGCATAAAAGCACAGAAGTACAAAAAAAAAAAAATTTGAAAAAAATACTGCATCCTGTTTTTTTTCCCAGTTGTCTGACTTAGTCTCGCCATTGGAACAAATAGGCATGAACGAAAGAGTGAGGCTGACGTACAGAGCAGCTTTCCCACAATTTCAACAAAAGATAGCCCAAGAGCTCGAAGCCTTTCATCATCTTCACACGCGCAGGACGAAAAATATGATTTTTTAGAGCTATAGTTTCTTAACTAGCGTTTGAAAACATACCGGGTCTGATGTTTGCTTTTGAAATAGAAATTTCTTTTGTCACTTCACCAGAAGTGGAGATATAAAAATAATTTTAATGTTATATTATTATTATTACTTTCAAGGGATACTTTTCTGTGTAAGCAATATGGGGCCATCCATTAAGTGCGTACGCACTGAGGCGTCGGGGGGGGGGGTAGGGTGTTGTCAGTTTTGGAAATTTTGCGTCTGCGTATGCAGGTGGGGAGGGGGGTCTCGCCAGAAAATCCGTTTTTTTTTTAATATACAATAATCATCCTGAAATTTTGACTAAAGCAATATGGGGCCATCCATTAAGTGCGTACGCACTGAGGCGTCGGGGGGGGGGTAGGGTGTTGTCAGTTTTGGAAATTTTGCGTCTGCGTATGTATGTGGGGAGGGGGGTCTCGCCAGAAAATACGTTTTTTTTTTAATATACAATAATCATCCTGAAATTTTGACTGTCCGAAAATAACACAATTGTATCTTGAATACTGTAAAAATATCATCCAAAGTTTTGTAGGAATTATCGTCGAAATGTTGCAATGTGTTTTCGCACATGAACTTTCTAGATATCACTCAGATACTACTCAGTAGTAGCAGTATTACAGTAATATTTCGTCCACCATATGTTCAACGTGCGTGTGACATATCCCCCCCCCCCCCCCCACAAAAAAATGTGACATAACCCCCCCCCCCCGAAAAAAAAATATAAAAAATACTACGCCAGTGGTCCCCAAATTGTTTTTATTAAATTCCTGGCGTCTATGAAAAAATTAGGTTTTCATCAGGCGTTCATTTGTTAACTTCTAACTAATACAATTCGAAATAGCCAATACATAAACATAATACACTAAAGGGTTGGGCAAAAATCTAGTAAATGCAAACAGTAGTCACTCAAGTATTTGCACCAAGACCGCTAGATGTGACATGGGATTAAAAATGGTCCAAAAAATAAAATATGAAAAGTGTAATATTTCGCGGCGCCCCTGTAAGGAAGCCGAAGTACCCAGCACAGGACCATGCCGAGGAAATGCGGCACCCGGGGCAAAGCCGGAAAACGGCGCCATTTAATGTATTGAGGAAAATGGCCCCCTCCTCGGGGCCGTTCCAGTAAAAAGACGATTTTTGGTATGTGGGATATACTAATATTCAATAATTACATCTTATCTAAAGACGATTTTGGTACCCATGATGTCGGCGCCCGGTGGGACTCCCCTCTTTGCTCCATTCTCATGGCTCTGCCCATTGGCAATGCGGCACCCAGAGCGACGCGGGGTATATCATGGGAACCACAAGGCTCGCCAAATAGTCGGCGATGTGAACCCTTGACAGAATCTTTAAATTGCTTTGAGCCACAATAAATCTATACATTATTAAATTTCACTGTTTTTTGTTTTTTTTTAAAAAGGGTTTGGGGGGGGGGCTTCTTGTACGTACGTCATTGCAATAATAGTTTTATATTAGTAGAGGATTATTTTATTTGCACTTTTGCATATTCATGTTGGTTTTACCCTTATAAACTAATTAATCCTTGCATCTGTTCAACTGCATTGTCCTACTTGATGATTGTTCTCTATGAAAAATATATTTATTGCTAGTTATATATTTTTAAATGTATGTAACTTTAAAGAGCTTGTACCATGTATGCATCTTTTCTTCGTCTTTTTTTTTTCCTTCGCTTTTTAAGTTTTCCGTTTCCGGTTATCATTTCATACTCTTAGATCCAATAAAAAATGCTCTAGTTTTCATGATCTGATTTCCTTTGATTTGTAAACCACATTTCAAACTTTCAAGCCACCACTACTCCGTACACGCCTAAATAATGTGTAGCAGAGATCGGCCATATGGACGGCATCTTGTGATTGCTGTGTACTCGGATAGCAGATTGCCAGTAGCATTACAGCTGGATATTTGTATGGCTATTTTTATTGTCTCAGGAAATCCGTGAAGATGGACAAAAGAAAATGCAGTTTCGTCTTACCTGAGTTGGCACGTAATATAGTTGGTTTCAGTGGTTACACCAGGTCAGCGGTTCTTAAACAGTGTTACGCGAACCACTGTGGTTTCTAAATGAAAGGGTTGTTTTGTCGTGTTTTCTTTGACATAATTATAATTAAGTTACAATTAAATTTTTCATAAATTTTAACAAATATTATTAAATGAGTTTAGTGAGTTGAGGTGTAAACGTGCCTCGCGAGACAAAAATTGCACATGACATGGCATGAGCACATATATATATATATATATATATTGATATATATATATATATGCCCATGCCATGTCATCTTATTATTAATGGTGACAACTATGTACGTATATTCCTCTACTTTCTCTACACTTGAATTGTTATGATGGGATCTGTAATTTGGTGGTTCTGCCTAATGAAAACAAAAACCACTTCCTTTGCTTTTGAGACATTCAGCTGGAGAAAATGGTTACCGCAACACTATATGCAATAGTCATGTATATGCTATTTATATACGCAATGGGAAAACCAAATGCCACTATTTTGCTTACTCATACATAAATAGAATATTTGTAAAATTACCTACCCATCGCGCGTGATGGAAAGCTGTTCTTTCCCATAACTTCTTTAGTCCAGGATTTCATATGCGGCTGTTCAAATAAGCGAAACAAAGAGCAGGAACTATATGAACACCACGCCATTTAACATACATAACAAGTTGACACGTAGTGCAAACATTGGGACCTCTTATAAAAAGGTCTTCGAGAGGCACTGGTCTCAAAGCACTCGT